TCTGGATTCCTTGTCATTGCGGCTTCTGTCTCAATGAAAAATCTGACTTCTTTCCACGTGATGAAATAATATCTGCAAAATAATATCTGCCAAATACCTTCACCAGCGATCTTAATGAGGAATACATAAACGTCGCCAGAGGAAAAACCGATCGTCTTTTATACAAAATATTTCCATCCATATTCTCCAAACCCCTACCGGATTCTCTTCTCGTCTTGAGAGATCAAGGTCATCTGCAGACTAAAGATCAACTCTACCTATGACACCCCTCTCTAAAAATAAACTGCGCACTTGGCAGTGGCTATTGTGACCTATGCCTGATGTCTAAATTCACAGAACATCTTATTTTCCAGGGTAAAAGACGGAACAATATCAGACTGAACTTTTGTTTTCGTAAATACAACAACTTATTTGACATCTTTTGTGCTGACGATTACTCTCATTTGAAAAAGCTAACTGTTTTCATCAAAACCGCCTATTTCTCTTTCTAATTGTATATCTTTTGTTTTGTCTATTTATTTGCTCACCGCTCTCTTTCAAATTTTACATTTTTTTTTGGATTTTATATCCGTTTAGAATACCTCTTAAACAATGTAAACCCGTCATCTTTTTAAGCCATTTTAAATTTTAGTAAAAGTGATCACAAATATTTTTGAGCAATATTTACTTCTACACTAATTCAGTTGGACTAACGAAACGTCATCTATTTGCTACCTATATAAGGGCCAGATTAAGCAGCCTTTTATTTGAGAAAATTATTCTTGAAATTTTATGTAACGAGCAAAAGAAGAAAAGGAGCTTGAAAGAATTTGAATTTGATTAACTAATCTCATATCATTCAACTTTTCTCAATAATTTTTCCAACCCTTTCAAAACTCGAAGACTCTCACATTTCTCAACATGTACTCAAATTTCTGCCTGTAGAAAAATCTGAAAATAATGAAAAAATAAATATTTATCATTAACTAATAACAACAATGCGTCCAAAAACAATAACAAACCCCAAAAGTCATAGCATTAAAAATTTTCGTACGCAACACTTACGAGCTGTGGAGGCGTTTACTATCGTCAACAAATAAGTTTAAGAATCTAAGCATTAATTATTTATTTTTAATTAAGAGTCTCTCGTTTGGACGGCGTACGTTGAAAGCCATTTAGGTATGGTTTATGTATGGCTTTCGTCATTGGAAATTTGTTTTTTCAAACACTATTTAGTTACCTCCTTTATGAATGCTTAACAATAGATATTGAAAGATACTCTTCTAGACTAACTAAACTTTTCTCCCCAACTTTCTTTGTAAGAAGATATAATATTCCAAAGAATAAAGAAGAACTAAATTTTTATGGTACTTACGTATTAACGCCACCGTGGCAAAATACTATTATTAATATATTATTATTATTCTAATTTTACTTTAAACTTTTTATAAAAGTTTACAAGGTTGCTTTTTATCGGTTTTTTAACGGAATTGTTGCCGGGTTGGCGTTAATACTCAAGTACTATTTTTATTTTTTTTTGTTCAGCTGGAAACATTTTTCACTCATCTCTATTGGATCTAAGACCCTATCTGAATGTTACCGCTCCTATTCCTCATTCGATACTTCGCAAGTTGAGTAGATGTGGTCTTTGTGATAACAGCATTTGACATTTTGCGCTCTCGCAATTAACGCCGCAGTTTTTTCTTTTTTCAAATCATCTCCTCAAGACATAGAAGCGTTTGCAGCCAATTTATAAACCTAATCTTTTTTACACGTTTTTGGTCGCATATCGAACAATTTCTTCATATAACTTTTTAAACTCATATATCACATCTTACACATCGGAATTCACTCCTCGCTCTTCTGTTCTATCCTACATGGCGGACGAGTAATACGCATATTTTAACAAAAATTATAAAGAAAATAACGTAACGAACATATCATACACAAAATTAAAAAAAAAAAAAAACACTTTAATCAAATAATCACTAAAATAATTAATAACATTATATAACAAATGTAACCCTACTTTACTAAGGCCCAAACACGGAACTCTGTGTTCACTGCACACGCAGCGAAGTTTCGGTTGTTAATTTGCTGAATAACGAAGAAGAAGAAGTTTTCTAACAAAAAAAAAAGAACCTTTTGCGATTTGTTTTGTGTTTCTTGTTTCATTTTTTCCATGTCCGAAGAACAAAAGCTCGATAATGGCCCGGCAGGCTTGCTTGACACCGAAACAATCGCCGATGGTATTGAATCCGACGATGGTACCGAAGAGATAACAGCTCAAAAAGTGTTAGAGTTCTTAGAAACGGCATGGACAAATGAAATGAGCGCTCCAGAAATACTAATGCATCAAAGCGAGATGATAGAATTAATGATGGGTCAAATAGCTCATATGGAAGAGAATATGAAAGATTTAAATAAGAATGATTTTCGCTATGTTGCTCATCAAATGGAATTGGAACGTATACGCTATATAATGGTCAGCTATTTGCGGTGTCGTTTACGAAAAATTGAAAATTTTACCCAACACATACTAAATGAAGAATCAGTTCGAGAACCTGACGAAAAACGTTTGTCGCAGGAGGAGACAAAATTTGCGAAAGAATATTATGAGAATATGGAAACTTGTTTCCAACAAGTAGCTTTGCAATATATGCCAAATATGCAAAGATCTGAAGCGGATCAAAGGATTGTTAGACCAAACCTAATGAGCCATGTCTTTATTAAAGCAAAGGTTTCAGGTAAAAAACGGCGAAAGGCAAGTGGAAGCAAATAAAACTACCCATGTTCTTTTTTTTTTAATTTTTTAGTCCCATCTGTAGTAGTAGGTGTGGATGATGAGGAAGTAGATTTGGCTGCCAACTCGCAACATATAATTCCGTACCAATTAATAGCAGATCTAATACATAAGAACCAAGTTAAATTAATTTGAGACCTAATTTCTGTTTTCATTCGGCATTAATTATATATATATATATACGTATATTAAAATTTAGATGCGTTTTAAATTATCTTTCTCTTATAGCAAACTTCGTAAATTGTCATCTGAGAGAAGCCTATGACTGCTTTTGCGTTTTGTTATTGGGACTTCTGGATCGCCTCCATTTTCAGTGTATTCTGTCGACACGTTTGCATGTTCGAACATTACTTTTTTACGGGGGAAAGGCACTGGTCGGTTGTCTTCTTGATGTACCACGGCCTTAATTATGTGAGGCTTGTAATTGTCAGGTTTTTTAATAGGGGACGCTAATATTCTTTCTAGTCTTTCCTTAAATTCGTCATGTGCTAGTGTGCTAGTTTCATTAACCGGTGTTGAAGCCTGTACAGGTGATGCTCCGTCGTCATCTGTTTCATCATTGTCCGCGTCTTTTAATTTTTCTTGATTATCTTCTCTCGGTTTCTTGGGACGCGTTTGTTCCAGTAAAATCTGTGCGCCAGCCGGCATTTTCGATGAGCATAGCTTATCCACAAACCTCCTAATTTTATCACGTGTCGCATGGAAATTTGGATATTTCTGAAAATTGAATTCAAAATCTTTTTTTTAGCTTTTTTTATAATCGTATTCAAAGAACGCTTTCGTAGCGTAGTCCATTCGTTAATACATTCTTTTAAAACGCATGTGACATGGAGTAATTGAAACCAACGCGTTGTAGTATACCGAAATTAAAAAAAAAAAACTTGTTCGATTAAAGACCATTAGGGAAAATTACTACCCAATTCGTTTGATGTACATGCGTTACGTAATCAAGAAATTGAAAGTTGGTGTTTCCTTTTAAAGAAATTGAATTCGAGGCAGATTGTATGGATGTCTAGGTCCGCGTGTTTCTTACAACGAAATCGATCTATATTTTCCTCAATGTGAGGTGGTACTAAGCATGATACGAAGAATTCACTTTTACAGCGCTTTTGATGTGAGGGTGGCTGCTTTTCTGCGAAATCCAACAAACTTGGCATTACCTACATGGTTATCTGCGCTGATTTGCCATTCCAAGAAAGACAATATTACTTTGATAACAAGAAAATTAATAACCCAGAAAGAATTGTTTGGTACGAAAAGCATTACTCGGCACTGATATTCTAAAAATGAAAAGCAAATAGTTATTATAAAATTTGAGCGACATCACGTCGTGTTAATCCAATTTTAACGACAAAGTAATTAAATTCAATGTAAATAGGCTTTCTATCCTACAAGAAAGTGTTGCAGGCTGACAAAACGTGGGGTAATTATTGTCTTGTGGTAAATGGCGTGATTATTTTGCGAGACGGCCTGGGATCGTGAAACCACGTCCACATAAGGTAAGTTTTAGCTCTTCTTATTTATAAATTGTTTTTTTTTTTTTTTTGATAATGCGAAGAATTTCTATATCATAGCCGAGGACATCAAATGCGAAACTGTCGGAAATCGATGGCGAAATTATTTGAGTTAATCGATTACTCTTTATTATGTTTGGACAAAACTCAACGCAGCCTGGTTTTTTCGTATTTCGATCTGCCAAAATGCTATTTTTGCAGGAAAGCCACACAGGAGCGAGAAGAATTTGGAGATTGAAGGTATCTTTTAAGCTTCAAAAAGCTGCTACAGAGGTCATGCCAACAGTTCTTACAATTTGGGAAGTAAGAAATATTTTGTTGGTAAATGTCTTTAATCCGATATAAGACCTAATTGCGAGAGGATCTAAAAAACATTGATTTATGAATTCGTAAGTGAATAGTGGTCATGCTACTAAGAGTTCTCTCAATAAAAATAATACCTACTTTCAAAGTGATTTTATATATTGGTTTATAGACTACGTCTATTACCTGCGTCATTCGGTTCCTTTTCTCATTTAATTCAGAAGTTAGGCGTTTCATAGAAGTTTGGCTTAAACTTTTCGTCTTCGCATCCAAACCCAGAGCCTTAAGGCGGGTATTTGCCAATTTCTTTACATCTTCACGGATGATTGTTTTTGGTTTAATTTTAATGCTGAAAAGAAGCAGTAGTAACGACATATATGGGCAAAAAATTATCAAAACTTTCTGAAAATTTAAGCTTAAGTTTAACTTAAATGAAGGTTTGTTATTTATCAACTTGAAACAGTTGTTTAAGTTCTCCTCGTCCACGCATTTTACTCACGTTTTGCTAACTAATTCCGTCCTGCTGTGACAACTTTGTTCTCTGCCCACGACAAATGTTTTGTCCGGTTGTGTCGATTTTTTACAACTTGTGGAGTCAATGCCCGGATTTTCTTCTTCCAAACTCTCTGATATATTTGTAGAAGAATCTTCGTCATTGTCACTATCACCGAAACTAACTAAGATGGTTGTATTTTCATTTTATGCATATTTGGAGAAAATATCGGGCTTACTCTTCAACATTGTGGGGGCCGTTTGAACAAATGTTCTATTGCTATTTGAACTGATGCTTTCCTTTGTCTTTGTTTCCTCTGCAACAAAAATAATATCCCGTTCTCTTTCCTCGCCGTCTTCACATCGCTTTATCTCTCTTACGTCGGCAGTACTCTTTTTTTGTAATTGCTCGTTTTGATTGCTATTTTCGATATTAATGGCAGCAATTTTTTTGAAATCATTTTGCAATTCCTTCAGTTTTTCTTTGTAATTTTGTTCTAATTTTAAGACCATTTTTTCCAATTTGTCTGAACTTTGTTTAGATATATCTTCCACCTTTCTAAATAAGAAATCTTCCAAATATTCGATAGAAGGTGCTGTGCTGTGAATATTATGGATCTCTTGTTCGATTTCATCTTGCGCTTTCTCTTTTTGATGTTTGCAACCTTCGAAGGCTTCAGTTAGTTCACTTAGTTTTTTATGTATATCGCGAAAAAATTCAGAATTTTCCTCTTTCTGCGTTTGCTTCCACGTCTCAAAATCGTTTAGCTTTTCTTGCAATATTAAAATTTGGTCTTTGTGTTCAATAGCATTTTCATTGTTATCATCTTTCTCTTTTAGTTCGGTTAAATTACTCTGAATCCCTATGCTTTGCTTAGATTTCAGTTCTTCCGTTCCTTTGCCGTTAGGTTGTGGTGTTGATCTTTTGCTATTGCTCAAGCTTTTCTCCTTTATTTCGCGCTCCGCATTATTTAAACGTTCCTTAAGTTGCTTAATCTCTAGTTCGAGTTTGATCGTATTGATTAAATTCAAATCATGTTCTCGTTCTTTCGCTATTAGACAGGGCGTTTCTAGTTTCCTTTCGACTTTGGCGTTATGTTTGCGGGATATGTGCAAATTCAGAGCATCATTGCTTATAAAGTTTTTGGTGCATAAGTGGCAAGGGTAGATAACCTCATGTATGGCCTCCATGTGGGTGATCTTCTTATGGAGCTGTAGTATTTCATTATTTGCTTCCGATAGGGAACGTTTCAAAGTGGCCACTTCCATTTGAGCTGAGCCATGAGATTCCCTTAAATCGTTAACGGTCTCTGCCAGAAACGTCCGGCAAAACAAAAGGTATTGTACGGAGAATTGGGAAAGTAGAAAATACTTGGCTATGCCGCTGTCTAGTATATTAGTTTCCAATATAGAACCTAACGGCACTTCGGATAAATGCCCCACGACATCATCGATTTGTTCCAGGTTTTGATCTTTTAAAATCCGTTCGACTTCGACGGATCCTTAAAGTGTGAATTCTATATAAATTTTTTGTAATATCAATAAACGTATATATACTACCAAGTACACGCCAATCCAGTGGACCATCTTTGTACAGGCGCAATTTGAATCCAGCTTCTCGTGCTGCTTGAGGGTAATTGTAATCGAAATTCAGTGGCATATTTTTTTTTCGTATTTTTCCAACTGAATTAAAAGAAATAATTAAAAATAATTTTTTTTGACTTGTTTGTCTGATTACAAAATAAACTTATATGTTACCTAGTGACATTAGCTAGTTTTGGCGAATTGAAAAGTTCATAGAGTACTATTAATACTCTAGTAAAGTACTTTTGGCTTGAAACTTGACTGTAGTAGTGGCGTTTATGTCCGTTCTAATATCCTATGCTGTTTGCGGCACGGAATACGTTAAATTCGGCTGTACGTGACAATTAGAATGATCTAAGAGGACGACGGTATATATATTTTGTAAAAACGTTTGTAACCTGCAAGACGAAACTTCAAAGACCACATAGAGCGTGTTTATTGTTGATCAGTATCAAATTTTGAATCATGTTTAAACGGTTGTCTGTGTAAGGTCTGTGGTGAACATTCTCCTAATTGCAAAACTGAATATAATAGCTTCAAATTTAGCAGAAACATTGGAAGTCTTTACACGCAGGTTAATACTGAAAAGGTATGACAAACCGTACGAATTTCTTCATATATTCTACAAAAATCGACAAAATTAACCACACCCACTTAACAGCGTCAATTTGAAATCTTTGTTTCTTGGTTTTTTTTTTTTCAAACTTTAATAGGATAAAAATGGTGGGTATAAAAGTTTCAGCAAAGCCGAATATAATTTTTTGACGTTATTGTACTGACTGTTTTTTGAATCTAATTTTGTCTGTTCGTCCGACGTCTGTCCATATAATTATGTGTTCAACCTATAGGTCTCGTTTTTGAGAAAAATGAGCTCATTTTGCTTATTTTGAAAAAATTACTGTATGAAGAAAATGTTGAAAATTTCTCAGCAAAATTTGTTAAGTAACAGTGTTTCGGCATCATTTGACGTAAAAACCTTACATCGGACGGGCCAATAAGAGCTCTTTCGTATAACCAGTCCTATGGAAAGTAAATCTTTATATTTAATGTTTATTGCAGGTTTTATAAACTGCCCATAGCAGAAATTTGGCATAAAAATTAATTGTACAAAACTTGGATTACTCTTTTACTATAAAATTGGCAACAATATGCATTTAACGGTTACAAAAAGCATTAAAAAAATATTACTACATAAAGGGATACGAGATTTTAAACATACTGTGCAGATCAACATCGCTATGCATTTCAGGGTTAAGTCAGTTTATACAATTCTTGGCGCAAAAACTTCTAATGAAGACATCGTCGAAGAAGAATTATTAGTTTATCGATCTCGTCCATTCGATTTAGTCTTTTGATTGTCCTCTGCTTCTACATTTCAAAATATTTCGTTATGAATAACTATTAAATAGAGGCGATATGGCGAAACTGCGAAAGTGCTTGAGATGATTTTCAAGAATGAAAGAAATTGAAAAACAGTTGGGAGCAGTGTAAAGTGATTGATTAGCACTTTCTGTGAAGTTTTATTCATTTATAAAATTATCTTAGCATTTCCGTTATAGAAACTTTTCAAGTAAGTCAATATTATGATAGAATATCTGTGACAATAATACATATTGTGTGATTGTGTTTCAAATTCGCCGAAATTTGTGATGCTCTTCAGTTGCGAGTACCTAAGTCAGCGTTAGGTATGGCTCAGTTTACAGGAAACTAGACATGTGTTAAAGTTAACATCTAAGGAATTTATTTTATAAAAAGTTATGTAAAATTTTTCATAATAATAATAAAAAAGATGAATAAAATCTTAATTACTTTGCTTAGTTTAGTTTTAAGTTCTGAAGTGAATTCCACGCGTAAGTAACAATACCTGAAAATTTTCCAAAATAATATTTAGTGAAAGAAGTTATATCGAAGAGTATGTGTATCCCCGTAAACCAATTTATGTTTTGTACTGTTGATAAAGAGCGCATGTCTTAATTTTAAAATGAAATGAACGAAAAGAGAAATCGAAGCGAACATGAGCAATAAGTTAATTCGCTTTGAAATGTTTGTTTACGTCCTCTCAGGCGGTGTGTTTACAAATTTTTGCATTCATACATATATCAACAGGTTATTTAGCACGTTTTCCTAATTTTCCATTTCATTATTTACTATTTCAATCTAGCTCCTCTAAGTTTCGAAGCCAATCCGGATACAAAACGCCTTTATGACGACTTATTAAGTAATTATAATCGTCTCATACGACCTGTTGTCAATAACACTGAAACTCTGACGGTATGGCTTGGTCTGAAGCTGTCTCAATTGATTGAAGTTAATCTAAGGAATCAAGTTATGACCACGAATTTATGGGTAAAACAGGTAAATAATATTTTTTGTTAAAAATCTCTAGTAAATTAAAAACTTTTATTTACGGCTGTAACAATTTCCTCTGTCGTTAACAAGAGTTTATCAAGCGAAATCTTTTTGATGCTTGATAGTATATGAACCGTAAAGAAAGGCGACAAATATGTGGGATATTCCATTAATTCATAGAGTAAATCGTTGAATTTTGCCATTGCAAAAGTAGTTCTGCGGAACTTGATAAAATACCTCCAACATTTTTCTCCCACAAAGACGTGTTTCTTAGAAATCCGTGCCAAAAAGAAAAACAGTTTAAAAAGGTACATACGACATATGGCAATTTTAAAAAATCGTATAAGTTGGAGACCCTATATATTTATTAAAAAAAAAAAACCGTACAAAAAAAGTAATAATGAAATCTATTCTATATATTTATAAAATAAGAATCATTCATTTTTATTATGAAAAACCAATTAAAACTGGTGTACAGGGAAAATCCAGTCCATAAGTACACACAAAACGGTCTGACTTCTGATCACAATATTCCCTCAATAATATTTTGTCGCTGTATATATGTTTCTGTGAGTCACTGCGAAAATTCGAATTAAAAGAAAAAACCCTTTTTTCCCGTTGTTGAATCGTATTATTTCAGAATTATTTAAATAAATGTCGTATTGAATGTATAACAGTTTTCGTAAGTTAAGCAGGTATTTTTTTAATGAAATTTACGCATCAACTTATTCAAAAATCTAAGGAATATTTCTTTATATTTTTTTTACGGACTTGACAACAACAAGTTTTGCATGCAAAATTTAACATATGTTTTTCTTTGGCACAATTTTCCCATCTTTTAACGCTTGGAAAGCGGGACATACTGAGATATAATTGAATGTTATTATATTGCATCAGAATACGTGTATTCTAAGATGGAAGGCTTCTTCCTTGTTTTTAGAATTAGAATAGACAAGTGGTAAAAGCAAGAACGATGTTTTTCCCGTTTCTATCCTGACCACAATGATCAAGGTAGATCGTAAATGCATGCCGATCGTATATCGTATCTGACATATCGTATTATACCGCATTACTAACAAAATCAAATTTTTGATAAAATAAGTTTGTATAAAATCGTTTTCTATTTGTTGAGAACGCAATTTCTAATTCCATAAAGGTTTTTGAAGTTTTACCGACCAGCGTTAAAAAACGCATTTTAGGAACCCTAAAAAGATCAGAATATTCTAATTTGCTTGTTTGGAGGTTTATAAGCAAAGGTGAAGGTGGGTTTCATCGGGATATGCGTACAGAGGGAATTGTCGTTTGGAGTGCTAAGTAAAAATTGAAAAGTCACTTTAAATCTCTATACTAAAATCCACACACTTTAAGATCATTTAGACAAAAGATCTAGAGAGTGGTCGAGATATTTAGTAGCGCCACATAAAAGTTGGTTCGGAACAGCGTTGTTGTTAATATGGTCCCTAGGTGTATAAAGCAAAGCTGCTTGCTTTATATGCCATAGTAAAGAGAGGATGTGAGGCGGTCGTCCTTTGTTAATTTTTGAATTAATATTCAACTAATAGCTAATAATTTTAAAATATTATTTTAATTTTTGAAAAAGCGTTGGTTCGATTATAAACTGCGTTGGGATCCCGAAGAATATGGCGGCGTTGAGCAATTATATGTACCTTCGGAACATATTTGGGTCCCGGACATTGTGCTTTATAATAACTGGGACGGTAATTATGAGGTAAAAATAAACAAAAACTTTTTTCATAAGTTGCCGTTATTCATTTCGTTCACTGCAAGATTTCTTCTTGAATACTGCACAACTCATCCACAGGTAACGCTCATGACAAAAGCAACCTTAAAATACACCGGCGAAGTCTTTTGGGAACCGCCAGCAATTTATAAGTCATCGTGCGAAATGAATGTCGAATACTTTCCATACGATGAACAAATTTGTTTTATGAAATTCGGTTCATGGACATACAACGGTGCACAGGTGGATTTGAAACATTTAGATCAGGTAAGCCAAGGGAAATAAATGTCCAATAATAATAAAATCATTTCCCTAAATAAGATAAAGAATGCTTGTGAAGAGAGAGCGTAGGCAAGTGAGAGTACAGTATGTGAGGGATATTGAGCAGAGATTTAATAGCTACTATAGTAAGAGATTTTGTAATGTATGTACGTTGTCCAATGGCAATAAATGTTAGTAAAAAATGTATTTATTGTCAAGTCGTAAAGCAACGTGCATGCATACATATGCACGTGCATAGATATGTTCGCTCATTCTCTTCGATATGAAGTGTAAAGAGTTTACCTTAAGGAATTTAGTTCAGTAATGTACGCGGAATGCAGGCGGTAAATTTATGTGAAACTTTTGTATTTTTTCTAATAAGGTTCCTGGCAGCAATTTGGTGCAAGTTGGAATTGATTTAAGCGAATTTTATTTATCGGTTGAATGGGACATTCTAGAAGTTCCAGCCACTAAAAACGAGGAATATTATCCGGACACTTTGGAACCATTTTCGGGTAATTTTTATGATTCCTGTTTGTATATTTTTTACAATACCTAGAAGGAAGATGGAAGCTTTCGAGACATAAAAAAGTATGTACGCTCCGAACTGTATCACACTCTGAATCAACCTAAGAATGTCCGTTTGTGTCTCTCTATATCTGAAGTTGATAACCATACTTCCTGTCGCAAGAGTTGAGAGAAAGGGTTCAAAAAAATTTGCAAAAATCCACAAATGTGGCCAATTGATCAAAGAATATGCCTACAGTATACCGTAAACCCAAACTTCTTCGTCTTTCTGGGCTTCCTGCAATTTACTCATAAGTTGCGGCAGATGAAATGGTAAAAATTTCGACGTATATTCTACGGGTGATTCGAAAGTATCGATTCCACGCCTACTCGATATAATAGATTATAAAAGTTTTATTTTTTCTCGAGTAATTTCGGTCACGGACGAATATAATTTTCTTGCTTGTTATTTTCCTTTTTGCTAACCAATCAAATAACTCGTACTGCAGACATTACATTTAAGCTGACGATGAGACGTAAAACATTATTCTATACCGTAAATTTGATCGTGCCCTGTGTGGCCTTAACCTTTCTTACTGTCTTGGTCTTCTATTTGCCTAGCGATTCGGGTGAAAAGGTAAGTAATGTAAATATTGGAAAGAATTTATATGTATCTGTACGGGTGTATAATGTTTTAGTTGTCGCTGGAATACACGAACAATTTGTAATTCCTTCATTATATGTTCATTTAAACAACAACATGATCACCTGAACAGACACATAAAGATAAACTTGGCTATTATTTGCATGCCTTCCATTTGTACTGATTGCTTGTTGTACACTATGACAAATTTCATTGCGTTAGTCGTTTCATCTTCAGTTTTTGTAAATGACCAGAATATATATGAATGCTAACGTTTAGATTTCAACTAGTTTCTCCGTCTGTCCATCATTTTCTATTCGATTGTTAGCGTCGCCAGAGTTAATATAGAAATTTTGAAACTGTGAAAAGATACGGATTCTCTACTAGACAAAGTTCTAAAATGGGGAAAGCTGAGTAGGAAAAGAAGCTCAGTTTAAACGAATTTATTCGTTTTCTGGAAGCGCAATGGAAGTACTGCTATTCCTGAAATGATTGAAAATGGAAATTGGGTAAGCTAATGTTGGATCAAAAGAAACAGCACTTAATTACGCTGGAATGAAATTTACGATGCCTTTTTAGTAAAGCTGAGAAAACGTAGTATAACCCGGAAACTGATCCCTCTTCTGTCCTCAATTAAATTTTTATCTAATCGGTTGGATATTAATGTACTTAGTGCGTAGCCTACCATTAGCAACGCCAGATTACCAGATGCCTTCACAATTACAAATAAATTTTACTTCAAAGTGGTAGTAAGTTATCTTCATAATTATTTAACCAGACGGTCTGGCAAATCTGATCTGAATTGGATTATAAGCTTGATGAAAAAGTAATAGAAAGCCCATGGTCACAGTAATGCTTCAATCATTTGCCGATAACGATTCATGCATTCTGATAACGGAATGAGTAGATCTCAAAACGACCGTGAATTCCTTCATATGTTGTCCTACTCAGTGCATTATAACATGACGTTTCCCTCTTTAAATTTTGAAAGCTTTTTATGTTGACCTGTTTTATAGTTTTTACCATGTTTAAACAACCTTTTGAGTGTCTCTAAAAGAGAGTCGCTCGTAAGTAAAGGGTACTTATAACCTGCATGCCAGCGAAGCATTGTATATCGTTGACGAAAACTATCGCAGAGCATAAGCTATTCGATACTGAAGGTAAAACAGTTTCAAGTTAGTCATGGCAATAAACTTGTCGCGTCCGACATATGTATCTTGAATGGATGGCTATTGTGGATTGACGTACAGAAGAACGGAAAACATTACTGAGGAAAGTTGAAATGAGGCTTGTAGGCTAAGAATATGTTAACGGTGTAATCCGACCACGTAGGTGGCCAACTGAGTTTAAAGAAGAGTCTCACAGTCTCCAAAACTACTAGAAATTTGCGAGTGTCGCACTTTCACTGGTCGCACTGGTGGGTATCTAGGATTATTGGCTCAACTTACTTGTTTTTTTCCCCTGATATCCTTTTTTCATCTCGTTATGTGCGTATTGTATTTATTTTCTATTTTCAATTTCCTACCAAAATAAGCATAATTTATACTTTTAATGATCTTTAGAATTTTTATATAAATTATGCTAATTCCTTACACATGTACTAACATAATCCTACATATACCAGAATTTGTATATGTAAGAGCGTTGTAATTGTGAAATTTCATTAAGTAATTTTTCATCGATTGTAAAATTTGCATATTTCCACATTGTTGTAGTTGTACATACAAACAAGCATTCGTACATTTAATCTTATTATAATTATTGTGCCGTGCGAAACTAATGTATGGTACATTATTGTTAATATTTTCAATATCGTGGTGTATGTACATATATTTATAAATATATATATATTAGTTTGGGGAAAAAGAAATCAATTATTTTTATATGAACTTCAGGACTATTTAACATGCTTCGGATTGTCCGATTTGGGTCAAATATCCACCGTTTTGTTGTACGATTTGTTGCCATTTTAAAGGTAACTTCAAAATGCCTCTCTCATAGAAGTCCTGGTCTCTATTTGCAAAAAACTTTAGTAGTCGATTTTCACAATCCTCCCTAGATTCCAATTTTTTATCATTAAAGAAATTTTGCAATGCAAGAAAAAGATGATAATCGCTTGGTGGCAAGTCCGGACTGTATGGCGGATGCATTAAAACTTCCCAACCAAGCTCCCGAAGTTTCTGGCGAGTCACTGTAGATGTGTGTGGCCCAGCGTTGTCCTGGTGGAACACGACACCTCTCCTGTTGGCCAATTCTGGCCGTTTCTGGTCAATCGCTATCTTCAAACGGTCCAGTTGTTGACAGTAGAGATCAGAATTTAGCGTTTGGTCATAGGGAAGCAACTCATAATAAATAATCCCTTTCCAGTCCCACCAAATGCATAGCAAAACCTTCCTGGCCGTTTGAGGTGCTTCACCGCTCTTTGACCACGATCGTTTTCGCACAGGGTTATCGTATGTGATCCATTTCTCATCTCCAGTCACCATCCGTCTAAGAAATGGGTCTATCTCATTCCGTTTGGCCAAGGCTTCGCAGATGGAAATTCGATCCATCATGTTTTTTTCTGTTAATTGGTGTGGCACCCAAACATCGAGCTTCTATTTGAATTCAGCTTTTGTGTAAATGGTTTAAAACTGTTTTATGGTCGATTTTTAGCTCCTGGGCGATGTTACGATTGCTAACATGCTGGTCAACTTCGATCATTTCTCCGATTTTATCGAGATTTTCGACGACCGGCCTACCTGTGCGAGGTGCATCTTTAACATCAAAAATTCCTGAACGGAATCTACGAAACCAAAATTGCACATAATTGGTTGTTACAGTATCGGAACCATAAACACCATTCACAATTTTAGCCGCCTGGCTTGCATTTTCGCCTTTGTCAAAGAAAAACTGTAAAATGTACCGAATTTTCTCCTTGTTCACTTCCATTTTTAACACGCTGAAACTCATAACTGAATGCACCAAACAAAAAACAGAAAAGAATTTTTTTTAGTGCGAAATGTCATCTTTCCAACGAGCATAAATCTGAAATTGTTTGATCGATACTTTACGAGAAATCTATCAGTGCAGCCATCTACCGAAAAAATAATGGATTTCTTTTTCTCCAAACTAATATATACATATATATATATATTTATATATATATATATATGTTGAAGTGCCCACTTGTAATCATGGTATATGTTTGTGTTGTAGGGTTATTTAAGTACAAAAGGTCGTTCATATATGAAATATGTATTTAATGTATAGATGTATCGTATTAACCATGTGTGTATAATTGTTATTCATTTAATGGCATTTGCGGCTTAGTATTTTTTTATTAGTTTTTCAATGTCTGTGTTAAGATGTTTTTAATGTATTTGCTATTGATTAGTATATTTAATGCATTTACTTTTGATAAGTACCTTTGACGTTTTAACCCTCAAAGTATAAATTCAATGTAAAAACTAAATATATGTTGTTGATTGAAAATAGGCAAAAACAAGGAGTGAATATAAAGTGAAAAAATACTTACAAGTAAAAATATGTTAAATGATACTATTTTTTTTCTACTGGACGCCCTCAGAATTTAAAAAAAAACCATCCGATAAGTTGGCCTGACCTGCTATTACTTATGGAATTAAAACAATTTTCGTATATAATAGGTGCTTGCACTTAATCTGATCATTTTGTCACTTGAAAAAAGAATTTATTGAGAAAAATCGGTACGATATATATAAATCAAACTATTTTCCATTTTTTTCTACAACCTTTTCTTATTCTTCTGGCAACATAGCGATACCGTGACGAAAGAACATGGTTGGGTTTGTAACAAACCTGCATTCCTTCAGCATATCAAAACCGCGGGCCAGCCAGGCCATGCTGTATCGATCTGCACAAGTTGTAATCAGAAGTTGCTATATCTCGTGAGTACGCTAAGTGCGGCCGAACTTTTCATTCTAACTGGAACAGTGTATCCTTGACAACTCTTGCAACGTGTGGATGAGGATTGTCATACAAGAGGATGATTTCGCATCTGTTAATCGGTATTGCTGATCTTTTTGCAACAATGCAACGTCCAATTTGTTCAATTGACATCACTAGGCATCTGCAGCAACACTTTCATTCGTTAGCCGCTCGTAATGCACTGCACTTTGCTGATCTCACCAAATGCACAGCAAAATTTTATGGCTTCGGTGTCGATGTGGATGGCTCTCCTAGACTAATCCATGACTTTTTGCGTTTGGGCCTGCCGTAGCCGATCCACTTTTCATCGCCAGTCACAATACACCACAGAAACTCTTCTCTTTTTGGCTGGCAAGAAATGAAAATTCGATATTGAAACCCTTCGAAATGATACTTTTAGTCAATTCGCATGATAGCCAATTTCTCTCCTTTTGGACCTTTCCATCGCATGTAAACGGAAACAGTTGATCCATCAATTGCTAAACTGTTCGAAAATTGTTTGGGAGTTTGAATTACTTAATCCGGGCCGTTCTCTGTCATTGTCATCAAAACCATCAATTTTAAGCCGTTGAAGCCAAAATTGACCGATGGCACAGCATCACCAAAAGCTTCTAAAAATGCTTGACGGGTTCCGGCAGCAGATTTCTCCAAATCGAACAACTAAAGTAATGAATGTCGAAAATACAATTTTGAGCTTCCCATTATTAGCCTCTGTGTACGGTGGTTAACTCAATAATACTGAATGAAAAGTTATTATTTTAGGTTGAGAAAGGTCATCGAAAGCATCGAATATAACCGTTCTGTACATTACTTTCGCATTATCCTATTAATTTTGATCATCATTTTGGTCGTTGATCAAAATACGTGCAAGCACCTAATAGATCGAACTGAATTCGTATCTAATGAAAATCGTCTCTTAATTCGTGTGCTTCTCTTTGCCTTCTTACATCTTATTTTTGCGCTCAGAAAGATTTTTCCTGGGCTCAAATTACATTTTCTTAGCAATACTTACTGTGTCAGTTTAAGCGCGCTTTAGCATTTGGTGTGGTTATTGTTTGTCCTTTTAAAGGAGGTGGAGTATTGTTTTCTTTTTCGGATTCGAATTGATGTTGATTTACCCCGAAGTAGTTGAACGTCTTATTCACTTTCAATCTTCCATTCCTTATTATCAGTAAAAAGTTGAGATAGAGAAAACACTTTTTTTGTGATCAACGTCGTACTGATAGTCTGGGCTTCCACCCCGTCAATTTTTTATTGCCAATAATGGCCGACTTTCTATTGTATGAAGTCTTCTGCTTTATATTGCTATTAGATATTAAACCGTCGTAAACTTAAGTTAAAATTAAGTTTTTAAGTTTGAAACGACTTGTCGAAAATACTTTTTTAATTGATTTGTGTGTTTTTTGTGTATTTTGCTGTAATATAGGCGGAATCGATCTTTAAGCTAGGTTGAAATATTAATAAGCACTTTAATATATAATTTGGTGCCTTTCTACAACTGAAATCATGAATTTTCTTATCGCCACACCGTTTTGCGTAGTCGATATTGACTGACATTTTTTTCATACCTTCAAATAGAGAGACAATGTCAAAGGAGATATTGCATATCGTCATGTCGGCAATATATCTGATATAACCTGATACAAATTTGTTTATTGCAATCGTCAAGTAGAAAGTATTTACGTTTAACGACATCAACACACGCATCTTTATGTTACACATTCAACTAATTTGGCTTACGTGCGGAGCGCCTTATTTTCCGTACAACAAACAAAATAAGCTTCATTTTGAAAAAGGAAAAGTCGGCATAATTTAATTCGAGATAAAAAAGTTTTACCTTTAGAAGTAATTGTTGTGAATTGTCTGTGTTCGACTTCCACTTAATTTTAAAATTAATTCTAAGATTGTTTTTAACCTGAGGCAACTAACAAATAAGATAATTGGCTTTCCGTCAACAATTTCTGATCCGATCATCTCAATCGAACCAATCTGTTTGAATTGAAGATACGTTCTTCACATGTTTGTCTTTCAGACTTCATTAAAGGATTTTACTTCATTGAAAATTCACTGAAAAACTTCTGGCAAAAGAGAAGTGTTTGGAATTATGATGTTTATCTTTTAGATTTGCTTTGCTCTTAGTTAAGAAAATTTAGCAATCCATTTAGCGTTCAGGCAAAGCCTGGCTTGTAATTGTGTTTCATATGATTTAACTAGCATTTGCATTAATGTTGTCATGTTAGTTGATTCTGTAATTGATATTTAAATTTAAATGTTTGCTTTGATTGGTCAGTGGAATAGTTGATGTTGACATATTGTTATAAAAGCAGTTAATGAAAAGAAAGAAAAAAAAATAATCCTATACAGACACACACATATGGTATATGCAATTTACATATCGTTGACAGGTTACTTTATGTATTTCTATACTTGTCTCATTGACTGTATTCTTCTTGCTGTTGGCCGAAATTATACCGCCAACATCATTGGCTGTACCACTGCTAGGAAAATATTTACTATTTACTATGATATTGGTCTCGTTGTCTGTCTGGACAACTGTTTGTGTGCTAAACATACATTTTAGGTAAGTGCATTCCTTTATAAATCACACGATGTTATCTTAAAACATGAGTTTGCGTGTGCGTACGTTTGTATAAAGGTCGCCATCAACTCACAAGATGTCACCATTGGTGCGTAAGTTGTTTTTACATTTTATGCCGAAGCTAATGATGATGCGCCGCACTAAATATAGTCTACCGGATTACGACGACACCACGCCTAGTAATGGCTACACAAATGAAATCGATGTGCGGTAAGGTGACAAATCAAAATGACGGCTTAAAAGATAATTGAAAAATTTCTCGTTTGTCTCGTAATTTAGAGATAGCATAAGCGATTTTCCGAACGATTTCAAGGATGGCCAAGATGCTGTTTACGACAATGGCAACCAAAACTCCATTGGTGAGTATTTAAAAAAATTTTTTAGACCACTTTCATATTTTTTGTTGAATTTTACATTGGTTAAGACTCTGATAATGTTATACCGAGGAATTTGACACCAGAAGTACTACAGGCTCTGCGTGCAGTACGCTTTATAGCACAACATATTAAGGATGCTGATAAGGATAACGAGGTAAGTTTTCCTTAAATGCAGGGTATAAGCAATTGATTTAAGCGATGCCGAGCGCCTATGCGTAACAGAATGAAATCTTTGTTCTTTAAGAGACTTGACTGCGAGTTTTGCGATAAGCTACCACGCAACGTAGCGTTGCAATCCATGTGTCAATTGCTGCGGGATAGTATATACTGCTCTTTTAACTGGCCACAGAAAATACTGACAGTAGGTTCAAATATTAAATAAAAGTTATTGTCTATTGCTTATGCTCTTATAGAGGTATCATGTCTAGTTTTTCGTTATATTTTGCGTCACAAAGATTTTACATCTTGACTGATCAAGAATGTATGTATATATTTACTTTACTGCCCGAAGATAAATACAAAAATGGTGAACTGAATTTCCATTTGTATTAAATTTTATGCACAATAATTATGACCAGACTCTAGAAACTCGCTTGTTTCTTTTTAATGAGACGGAAAAATAAGAAATACGAAATAGAGAAAAATTACTCGGAATAGTACACAATATTCCCAATAAATTGCTGATTACTCGTAAGTAGACTTTTCGATATTAGCTTGGGACTTAGAATGGCGACCAAATTTAAACCAGGTCCTTAGCTTCCGTACAGAGTTTTCGTAGGGGACATTTTTCTAAAAATAACTGGAAATTTACCATTTTCTTTTTGTTTTATTTCATTGTTTTTTTTAAAAGATCGTTGAAGATTGGAAATTTGTCTCGATGGTTTTGGATCGTTTCTTCTTATGGACGTTTACGTTGTCGTGCATTTTCGGTACATTTGCTATAATTTGTCAATCACCTTCGTTATATGACACACGATTGCCTATCGATCGCCAGTTGAGTGAAATACCGTTAAGGAAAAATAATTTCATGTTACCGCCAGATATAGTTCGTCAAATAGTTAATTAAGATATTTATATATTTATCGATGATATCCATAATTATAGTTAAAAATTTTCTCGCATAATGAAAACTAAAGTAACGACATTATCTTCCAAGTTTTAAAATAGGTTCATTGCTACTTTCATCGAAACTGAATAAACAACAAAAAAATAGAAGAACAAAAATGAAGGAAGGAATAACACACAGGCGCAGGGCATGTGATAACATGTGTGCGCTTAAGATTTTATAGAAATAGCGTTAATGTAATAAATGCACAAATGTATGCACATCTTAATTTATTCTATGAATGTAATCAAGAAAAATACTTCTGCACATATACACGCACAGAATTATAATAAAACAAAAATTTTCAAATTCAACAAAATTGTTTTCGTTTGCTTTGTTTCGTGTTTTTAGGAAAGATTTCTAGTTTTCTTATGGAAAAAGTTCATTCCGTTGGAAACTCGCAGATAACACAAAGGGCTTGTAATTGTTCTGCGAATTTTCTTCTTCGCTTGCTAAACATTTTATGTGAGCGCAAATACATAAAGCATAAATAAGTTTATAAGCAAAAACTTTCTTCCTGTAACCTTTTGTGCATAATGCGATGTTTTATTAAATATACACGCCTATATTTATGCATATATATACGTATATATATATATATACATATATACATACATATATGTATATATATATTATATTTAGACTTGTAAAATTCATATCGGCAACGACTGGATATATATGTACCATAGATTTTTTAATGTGGAATTTATTTTTGGAAAAAGAGCAAAGATAATGACAATTGTAGATCAAACTTATATATTATTTTTTCATTTGTAAACAATTTATGCTCAAAAAAAATTATATTCTCTAACAACTGAGAGATGGAAGTTTTATTGTATTGGTGAAAAGTACATAACGGTTAAATTCGATTATTTTGACCTTTCTTTACCTAAAATAATAGTTTTCCATTTAGTATGACTGAGTTATGCAGTGCAAACAGATGCACGGCATCTCCCTCAAAATTGCGTCTCCGACATTCATTGGTGGATTTAAAGAAATAATGCTGCTCAGTTATATACGAATTGTCGGTTTTAGTTTCAACGAGTTAAAATTTATGATTTTTATATCAATGACAAAGAACGGCCTGGAAGACTAGAAATGTTCGAAGACAATGAATTGTCAGCTTTATTGGACGAAAACCTAGCTCAAAGTGTCAAAGACTTTCCGAACAGCTTAGCAATTGAAGGATTAACTGTTTCTAGACGTTTATAAGAGGAGGAAAGTAACTATCATGCGAATTGATTGAATATGTCATTTGGTTTCGTTTCAACATCGCGGTTTTAATGCTTACCACGCAAAAAAGAGTTTTCCGTTGTGTACTCGGTGACGATGAAAAGTGGATCTACTACGACAATCGCGAGCACAAAAATTCATGGGTTAGTCCATGGGAAAGCAATCCATATCGACACCGAAACGGAGTGTTCATGACCACAAGCGGCGAATGAAATTGCTGTTGCAGATGTCTGCCGATGCCAATTGCACGAATTGAGCGACGCATTGCAAACAGAACCAGCAAAAGCGATTAAAAGACGCGAAGCCGTCCTCTTGGATGATAAGGAAGGAAGATCCGTTGCATCTGACAAATACTAGGATACAATGAAATTATTACCATATGTATGTCCGGCTCTTTGAGGATATTTTCAAGTGTTATATCTTACGTCAAATTGAATATACTTGTACATATGAAGTGAACGGTTAATGAAAATCCACATTTTCATTGAAGTTCTTAATAAAATGAATAAATATTTATATAAAATTGAACAGTTTTTTGTTTTTATACTCATCATCAAAAGATAACGAATATAATTATTTTCTCAAAACGTTTGTAACGCACAGAAGCAGAGACTCCATAAAGTATATGTATTTTTCACTAGCATCAAATTCTAAGCTTATACGTCTGTCCGCCCGCCCGCCTATCTGTGTGTCTGCGTAATGTCTTTGTTTGAACACTCTCTTCGTCGCAGAACTGAAGCTTTCGGCCTTAAATTTGTAAGAGAAATGTAGGAAGTTCATGCAGATTTGACAATGGAACGAATGATCAACCCGCGCGTCCACACTAAAGTGTAAAATGAACACAACTGCAAAGATTAACAAGTTTTTCCTCATTATTCGTAAATTATAAAATATAGCAAGCTCGACTTGTCTATTAACACTTTGTGGATGGCCATATTATTCATGCGTAAAAATGAAAAAAATTGCTTACGCGTGCACAAAGGGATTACATTTTTATTTTTTTTGAGGTTTTCTGCTTGTTACTCGTAAGGCAAATACGACAGGATTTTGAAAATGAATTTGTCCACTCCTCACATGCAGATATATTATCTGTTTAAAAATGGGTTAATTCTAAAATAAACATGGTGGACCTTGCAACGTCGAGGAATCTTTTTTGTCGCCGTATAATCAATTGGGTACCAAATAAAAGAACATTTTGAGTAGAATGCGACACTACACTTCGTTAATTCTAAATTAAACATCGCGGACGTCACTACATGGTGGAGTAATATTTTCTTCATAATTCGATATGTCGACATTGATATCAATAAAACCGATTTGGAGAGCAGATACAGACACGAGATGGTTTTTTGCCCATAAACTACAACGGACACGCGGTACAAGCCACCACTTTTGTTCGATAAAAGAGTAAAAAATGAGCCACGTCCATACAATATTATGGTGCATGGAGAGTAAACCTTTTTTTTTTTTTTGGACTTTTTTAGGATAACGGTGCTGAGTATAAACGATTCAATAGCTTTCCAATGTAATCTTCTTATTTGTTGTTATAAAAAGAACTAAAAATACTCTAGGAGGCCACGGCAGAACATTAAATATCTGACGTCACCCTATAGATAATCATATAAAAAGTTTCCAAAGAAACGCCTTTTATAGGAAGTGGTGAAGAAAGTTTCCTTATCCGAATAATTTTCAATAAGGTTCGTCTTTGGACCAAAATACTCCGGCGTAGCAAATTCAATTATTTATTTATAATTCATGAATTCAATACACAAGGCATACAAGAACCAATTTAAGTGCAGTGGAGCAAGTATAAATTACACGTTACGACCATGGGAGTATCCAATAAATGTCAAGATTACCACAAAAAAATATGAGCTATTACCGCAAATTCAAAATTTCAAAGGCAATGGAATAGATGCAGAGGGCAATCCTACGATACAACTAAAAATGAAAGCTATAAATCACAATTTATATAACTAATTTCCTATTTACACTTTACAAATTACAATTCGACTCCCCAAAAAAAAGAAAAATTAATCACGTAGCCACTCCAAATGTTACACATAACCCAACCGAATGAACTAACTTTAATGAGCGCAATGGGAGCCCAAACCCCGGTCACAGTTCATCTCTTGATCGATTTGACAAGTTAGTAATGCTTATGTAATAGGAGAATATATTACGCAAAGACACAAAAGTACCGAAGAGGCTGAACCCGAAAAGCATTATTTGAGTGAGAAAATATATGTAGGTCCCTTGACAGATAATTGCAGCAACGCGCTTCACGCGCAAGAAAGAATCTCTCAAAACAACTCTATCTGGTGGAGCTCGTAAATAGAAAAGGTAGAATAAAAATTTAGAGACAGGCCATTTTAATAACTCTATAAAAGTGCAGTAAATTACGATACAGTGGGAAAAGACCAAAAGTACATCCAAACTATGCTCCGACATATGCGCTCAACCACGAATATTATAGACATAAGGATACAATAGAATTCATTCGACTAAGTCGAGAAAAAACACAAGTTGTGGTACCAGCTACTGCCTTCAGGCCACAAAAGATCTGTGGCATCAGAAGAGCATAAGGTAGTCTATACGTGGCTGGTTGCGGCATATAAGTACTATTGGAATAAATTGGTCGACAGTTTTCCATGAACGAAATCAATGTGTTCCTCAAAAGTGAAGTGACGATCAGTAAATATACTAAGATGTAGATCAATAATCTCTATATTGGACTCACAAGTAAGGACATTTAATTGGGGCCAATACTGTTCCATATTCCCAAAAAGTATTTCGACGAGTTTATGTATAAAGTTTTAAACTGAGACCATTCAAAAAGCTGCCCTAAATTATAATAAATATTCCACTCAAGTGCCGCCAACCACTGTCCGTGCTGTACGCTGTATATCATCTGCGAATAAATAAGGCTTGCAGATATTAGTTCCTACTAGTTCCGGCATACTATTGCCATATGTCATCAAAAGAAGAACCGCTACTACAGATTCTTGGGCCACCTCAGAGCACCAGACGAATTCTCGAAAAATTATCATTAATGTCCACAAACTGAAATCCTCCAGTTATATATGAATGCATAAGCTCATAAGGCGATCTTGAAAATCCAAAAGGCCTCGCCATCTTTTCAATACGTCCCAAATGGTTCATAGAGTTAAAAGCTTTCGAGAGAAGAGAAATAGGGCAATAAACATATCGTATTCAACGGACGATTGCTTGCCAATCAGGTGATTGCAGGCCGAGCATATACTGCTTTCCTTTGCGGGTGCCACAGTTGTAAGCATATTATACTACCCACATCAGCACTGAGAAATAGAGTAACATGTTGCTTTAAACGGCTACAAAATGCATAGGGAAATTTCAGAAAAGAAAAAGCTTCAATTAGCACTGACATTACATCCTATCTTAGCAGAATATCCAGCAACGTACAACAATATTAGCAACCAGCTCCGATTAGATAAATTCCAACGCCACGTCGCCACCAGCGTATTCACTTTCTATACAAATTGCGCCTTAAAGCAGTTATACCAACATATGACTTTGTATTATAACAAGTAAAACAATACGTTAAGCCAAACGTTCATTACGTTCGATAAAGGCGATTTTGCAGATTTGAAGAACGCGGAATTAGCGTACAATTATAAATTATAATTATAAATTGTTAATAATTCTGTTTTATAAGGATAAGCAACCTTCAACTGTAGGAACATAATTTATTCTATTGTATGTTTTGATAAACATTTTAAAGTCATATTTACTTGCTCTCAGTTAACAATAGTAATTTTTCCTTTCATAATTTTCTCTTTCACTGAAGTTAGGTGGCCAGACAAAGATATTGCTTGTCAGCACAGAAAAACTTCACTTTTGGTTGAGATCAATAGT